TTCATATTCCATTTTATTCTCCACTCAGCTTCCTTTCAGGGGTAATGAATATGTTATCATAACTGTGGGATGAATTCTTTTGACCCACTTGTAATAATTCTATACTTGCTTATGTCCATATATGGGAAAACTCACACCAGCATAGTTACTGTACCTTTATGGATATTAACTAGAATTGGGAAAGCTGAAATATTAATTGTTCTGGATTTTCATGTACTGGAAATATAATATTAGTTAAGCAATTATATACAGACCACAGTGGACTGCAAGTTCAAAGACAGCCTGTGCTACATTGTAAGATTCTCTCAAAAATAAGGAAATGGGGGTGGGGAGACAGGTCAGTTGGGAAAGCATTTGACATGCAAGTGTGAGGGTTTGAGTTCAGATCTCTGAACCCAGGTAAGGCCTGACTTGATAACACACCTGTAATTCGAGCACTCCTGTGGCAAGAAGAGAGGCTGAGAAAGGAGAATTCCCAGAAGCTGGTAGACAGCAAGCCTGGCATAAACTACAGCAAAAAGACATTGTTTCAAACAAGATGACAGTCAGGGACTGATACCCAGGGTTGTTCTTGGACCTACATTTGTGCTGGAGGAGGCAGACACGCACTTGCACGCAAACAAGCACACGCACGCACGCACGCACGCACGCACGCACGCACACAGATTAAAAGAAAAAAATAAAAAGGAATGAGTGTAGACCAGCTCCAACCTGTCGAAGGGTTCTTGCATGGAGGGGAGAGGAATGAGGAAGTATTAGATAGAAATATGGGCAAAGAAAAGGAGAGAAACACAGGATAGCTTTGGGAGAGCAGTGGGTCAATACCCAGTCACCCCGAGTTTAATCATGATGGGCTTTTTATACATCAGCAAGGGGAGAAACAAAAGACCTCCCCCTCTCAAGGTCAAGGTATAAAGTACCAAGTGTAGGCCCTTCAAAACACTTGGTACCCACGCCCTTGGTCAAATCATCCCATGATGCAGCCCTACTGGGTAAAGCAAGCTCAGACTTTCTGGCCTTGAGTAAGGCCTTACTAGGTAGCCTCTGTGGACTCCGACAAATGAGTAAATAAATAACTTATAGCTTGGGGGTGGTGGCCCACACCTTTAATTCCAGCACTCAGGAGGCAGATCTCTGAGTTTAAGGCTAACCTGGTCTACAGAGTTCCAGGACAGCCAGGGCCATACAGAGAAACCCTGTTTTGAAAAAAAAAAAAAAACTCACAAAATTATACTCTGGATACATATATATTTATAAAACCTCAAGCTTCATAGTGACAGTTATTTCTGGAATGGTACAGAGGAAGATAGATGGGATTAGAAAGAAGTAAAGGATAATTTTAACTATAATTTTGTAGAAATTTATCTAAAGCTAATATAGGAAAAGTATTGAAATATTTTGAATTTTTCTTAACTTATAATTTGTCCATAAATCCTACTTATTCACTTTACTGCTTTTGGGATTCTACTATAAAATTAGAGGTAGATATTTAGATGGATATGAAACTACAGATTCAGATCATTTCCAGGTTTTCTATGTAGTATAATACAGTGTTCTAGTGAATATTCTTTTTTTTTTTTTTTTTTTGAGACAAGGCTTCACTATGTAGCCCTGGTTGGCCTGGAACTTGCTATGTAGACCAGGCTGGCCTTGAACTCATAGACCCTTCTTCTGCCTCTTGAGTCCTGGGATTAAAGGAGTGGGCCACCAAGCCCAGCCTTTTTTTAGTGTTCTTTTTTAAAGTACATTTATTTACTTGTTGGTGTGTGGAGGCGTGTGAGCGGCACACGAGCGAAGGTCAGAGGACAACTTGCAGGAGCTGGTGCCCTACTTCCACTACCTGGGTCTCAGGGACTGAACTCAGGTTAGGCGTGGTGGCCTTTACTCACTGAGCCATCTCTCCCAGCCCTCAGGTAACATCTTCATAAGGATGATCTCCAGTAAGAGTGTATTCCTACAGCCATTAGCTTTAAATTGGGGATATATGGATCCTCAAGAAATGTATAGGTCTAGTAGTGCCATGCTTTTAAAAGTCAGTGTGCCACAAAACTATAAATATATTTGATTAAAGAGCATTGACCTAGAAGCTGCTGGGGTGTGTCATCATAAAAGCTCTATGTACTAGATTACTTTTTAATCCCCAAATCTGTAATTTAGACAACCATATTTGCCAAAAGTTGTGAGCTAGTGTTATTATCCCCATTTCACAGTTGAGGAATTATGATACAGAAATTAAGTGAGCAGCTCAAGGTCATATTGTTAACAAAAGGGGTAGTTAGGGGTGGAGGTTTAGCTCAGTGCCACAGCATGTGCCTAGCATGAGCCAGGCCCTGAATCCCATCACCAGCACTGCCATGAGCACCGAAGGTCGATGTGTTAATAGTTTTGAATGCTTACTGTGGCAGTCATTTGGCTAAATGTTTGTGCATTCTCACTGAGTCTCCACCAACTCTGTGCACCATTATTGTCTTCACTTCCCAGATGTAGAACTGAAACTTAATGAAATTATAAAACTTGTCTGGACACATAACTCTTAAGTGTGATGAGAAAGGACTTAAAAATAAGTCAGTCTAGCTGGGCAGTGGAAGCGCACACCTTGAATCCCAGCATTTGGGAGGCAGAGGCAGGTGGATCTCTGAGTTTGAGGCCAGCCTGGTCCACAGAGCGACTTCCAGGACAGCCAAGGCTGTTACACAGAGTAACCCTGTCTCAAAAATAAATAAATAAATAAATAAATAAATAAATAAATAAATAAATAAATAAATAAATAAATAAAAAATTCAAAACCAAAACCAAGAAAGAAAAAGAAAAGTCAGTCCTATAGAATATATTTGACCATTTGACGCTTACATTATCCATACAAGTTAAAGGGGCTGGAGACATGATTCAGTATTTAAGAGCACATATTACTCTTCCAGAGGACCTGAGTTTGAGTCTCAGGAGGCTCCTAATCATCTGTAACTTCAGCTCCAGGATGATCAGATTCTCTGGCCTCTGTGGGCATGTGCCACACAAACACAATTAAAACAAACAAACAAAAAACAACTGATTATCTTTGGAAAAACCCAAGTTGATAGCAATAGTACTTTCCTCTTTTCAAAGCTTCATTTAGACTATAGACCTATGTGTCCTTGATATTAAAGAGAAAGAGTTTTAAAAATGTAAATCAGATCAGTGTAGTTGGTTGTTTTTTTCCTCCTTTAGCTCTTTTCCTCTTTTGGGGGGGGGGTCTGCCACCCAGTTCCCAAATAAATACCTAGTCCTATTCTTACTTATAAATGACTGGTTTTAGCTTGGCTTGTTTCTAGCCAGCTTTTCTTAAAGTGTCTCATCTACCTTCTGCCTCTGGGCTTTATCTTTCTCTATTCCATATACCTTTCTTTCTTACTCCATTTCTGGTTGTGTAGGTAGGTGGCTGGCCCCTGATGGCCCTCCTCTCCTCCTTTTTCTCTGCTTATCAACATCTCCTGCCTGGCTGTTCAGCTCTTTATTAGACCAATCAGGGGTTTTAGACAGGCAAAGGAACACAGTTTCACAGAGTTTAACAAATGCAACACATTTTTACATCATTAGACAAATGTAACACATCTTAAAATAATATTTTATAACAGATCAGTTCACGCTCTTGTTTAAAACGCTCTTTACTACACCTAGTGTAAAATCCAAATTCCTTACTTACAAGCCCCCTTTACCCCTCCCATCAGAATGGACTAATCTTAGGTGTACCCACTACCTAGAGAGCTCCTAGGATCTTTATATAGCTAGCTACCTCATGTTATATAGTTATCAGTTTAAACACCTTAGTTTTCCCCTAATCACCAAGTTCAAAACAGGTCTCTGTCACTCTCTTTTCCAGTATTCCGTTTCATGTACTAGGAAAACATTTTTGCATTTGTTTACTTTTCTTTCAAAACCTTTTTTTCATTTATATGAGATTTTGCCTGCAATGTATCCATGTGCACCACATGTGTGTTTGATGCCCACATAAGTTAGAAGGCATCAGATCCTCTGGCTCTGTAACTACAGAAGGTTGTGAGCCACCAATGTGGATCTGGAAAGTGAACCTAGGTCCTCTGAATGAATTGAAAATAAATATTATTACTGTCTTGGAGCTAGACAATTATTTAAACTTCTAGAGCTTCCTTTCCTCACTTGTAAAGTGAAGATTCAAACTTTTTTTTTTTTACAGGCTGAGGATGTAAGTCAGTGACAGCACGTGTGAAGTCCTGAATTCTAGCCCCAGCACCATCAAATAAACAAACTGAAAAAACATCACATTATTTACAGCCTCGTCTTATGATTGTAAGAGAGAATGTAAGCTACCACACAGCACGCTAGCAGGTATTTGCTTTATTTCTTCCCATACATATCAACTTTATAGTTCAAGTTCTTGTGAGCTTTTCTAGATACATGACCTCGTTTGGTTTTCACGGCCTTCTACAATGCTTCTCATCTTACAGATGACAGACCCAAGGATTGAGACATCACTTCTAAAAAGGTAATGAGAAGCCAATGGGCATGTTTTATAAGCAGAGGAATGACACGACATGCGCCTTTTGAAGATTAATCTGTCAGTGGCCTATAAACTGGGCTTGCCGAAACTAGAGAAATACTAGTTTGACTACTGGCATCAAAATAAACTTTAAGGTGGTAAGAGGCCATAGTAGGCAACAGAGGAGTGTTTAGCAGTACGTAGAAGGAAGGGGGGAGGGGAGGGAGGAAGGGAGAGAGGAAGAAAGGGCTGGTAAAATCATGGGCAGTCCCTCCAGCATTTATACAGAACTTCTGGTAAATCATGGTCCACACTTGAGCCTCCCTGCTCTCCTCCTCGCGGAACCACAGCAAATTCTTGGCCTGGAAATCGCTATGTAGCCCAGACTGACCTCCAATTTCACAATCTGCTGTCTCAGCCTCCCGGGTACTAGGATTATAGGCGTGCACCACCCCACCCAGCCCTTTGCAGGTCCTCCTCGGCTTCACCCCGCCCATAGCATCGCGACCTGGGCCGGAGTCTCCAATTCCTGCAGGGTTCGTTCCTGTTTGCAAACAGCCTAGAGGGGTAGGGTCAGGATGGCAAGCACTTGGAAACCGAGGTTTTGAACTTCCAGAACTCTGGCTGGGTCATCGTCCTCCTGCTCTGGAAAGCAGAGACCTCTCTGCATTTCTCCCCCCTAACCTCCCCGACCACGCGTCCTTTCCGAATCCGCACCGCGAACCAGCTCCAGGTGCGGCCGGAGGCGGCGGCGCTCCGGAGCGAGGCGGCCCCACGTGCGAGTGACGTCACTTCCGGCGCCCTGACGCTAAGTCCGGCGTTCCGGCGTTTGCGTCAGCAGAGAGCGGGGCTGGGGGCACCCGGTTTGAAGTGGTGCGGGTCAGAGCGGCGCCGCCTCCGCCCGTGCGTGGGATCCCCGGCCGGTGGCCTTGGGGGACGGAGCCGAGGCCGAGCGGCCCATGCCCGAAGGCCCGC